GACATGCTTTGCCTCTTCTGCATTAGGCATCCTGCTTGTCCACCCATTTCCATTTCTTAGCATAAAGTTCCAATTTAATGAAGGATATAAAATCCAAGGTATAAAAAAATAATAATTTCAGGTTGTAAAAATGTAAAGGACTGAAAAATCCATTTTGTTAAATTATAAATTATAGTGACACTGTGAAGAGGGATGTTAAAATCACAACTGAATTTATGTTCATATTAATGCTTGTATATACAGTATGTATTGAATATTTCAACATTACTCTATGGCAGGGGTGGCGAACAAGTTAGACACAAAGAGCCAAAATTTTAAACTGTGAAAGTCAGAGAGCCACACCACGCAGTGACCTGCCAAAACAGACAAACACTCACACAAAAACACATAATTAAAACCATATTATTCAGATGACTGCTGACCTTTGGGGAGGTGGGGAGTGGTACCTGAATTTGACAGGTACCCGCTCTTACTTCCGCAGAGTTTTTGTTTGATCTTACCTGTTCCTCGATCCAGCCGCGCGCCCTCTTCCCCGGCTTCTGTAATGGCGCTTGGCATGACAGCCGGGTGCCCAGTGCGCATGAGCGAGAAGCACTTGCGCTTTGTGATTGGTCCGGCGGCTTCTGGGATCTGTCATGTGTCCCAGGTACCGCCTTACCATTCACAAAAAGCACCGCTTCTTGTGCATGCGCACTTGGCACCCGGCTGTCATGCCCAGCGCCCACACTACAGAAGCCGGAAGACAGCGCGCCGCTGGATAGAGGAACAGGTAAGATCAAAGAACAAAGAAGTAAGAGCGGGTACCTGTCAAATTCAGGTACCCGCTCCCCACCTCCCCAAAGAAAGATGAAACTTGGCAAAGAGCCACAGTATACAAAATATAAGAGGCAAAGAGCCGCATTTATTTTGGCTCGAGAGCCGCGTGTTCGCCACCCCTGCTCTATGGTATCACTATAAGTTGTAATTTGAGAAAATTGATTTTTTAGTAACTTTTTATAATTTTTTTTATAACATAGACCTTTATATCCTTCTTGAATTTGTGAATACTTATATATATATATATATATATATATATATATATACACAATATATTTTTTTTTTTTTTTTATTTGCATTGTAGCCCTGATGAAGGGGGAGTGTGAACTTTAGAAACATGCTGGCTCTTTTATATCGTTGATCATCCTTGAGCCTGGGTTCACACTAATGTGGTGCGAATTCCGCACTGCATCATAATTGCACTCCGTTCATGCAAACTGCTGCGGGTGTGTATGTTAACAACACCCCGAAATTGGTTCCCAAAACGTGGTGTGATGAGCAGAATTGGATTGCACGGATGTGAATACCCATGCGATCCAATTCTAGCGCGGACAAAAAAAGGGTCCTGCACCTTTCTGGTGTGGATGTGGTGCGATCTGAGATATACAAAATGTATGGCTCAAATTGCACCACACAGAATTCGCATGTGATTTGCACAGGAATGCGATGTGGTTCCTATGCGAATCACATGTGATATGCCACACTGCAGAAGTGTGAACCCGGGCTTAAAATACTTTTCTGCACTCTATGCTACATTCTTTATGCTATATGCTATGGCAATGTTGCATTTCACATATGACAGCAGTCTATGCATAAGGGCTCGTTCACACTTGGCTGTTTTACCAACGCTTGCCAAACGACCCTATAGCGTTTGGCAAGCGTTGGTCCGGCATTTGCAGAGCGTTTTTTAAACGCTCCGCAAATGCCGCATGCGCGGTTTAGCAGCGGTTGCTAGGCTTGTGCCGAGCGTTAATAACGCCCCACAAACGCCTATAATGCAGTTTGAGTGGTGTTACCGCTCCGCAAATGCCCCGCAACCGCTTCGCCACCACAAACGCCGGCCGGGCGTTTGCGGAAGCAGCACCATAGATGAGAATAGGAGGCTTCAATGCCTCCTGACTCGACCAGAGGCATCCGTTTTGTCGCAATGCAACGCAACATGACGCAAACGCTCCCGTTAGAACAGCACCATGTGCTGTAATGTGCAGAATTGGCAGAGGCGTTTGGGAAGCGGTAAAAACGCTTCCCAAACGCCTCTCTGCCGCCTGCACACAATGCTAGTGTGAACGTAGCCTAAAAGGTAAAAAAATGTGTGTGTTGCTCCCCCACAGCCCCCCTAATACTCATCTGTGCCCCCTCTCAATCCACCAATGTGCATGGAAGCGTCGACTGTCCCGGGTCTCTTTCTCCTCATTGGCTAAGGCACAGCAGCTGGAGCCATTGGCTCCCACAGCTGTCAATCACAGCCAGTGAGCAAAGGAACAGAGAGTGGGGCGGGGCTGAGTAGCAGCTCTATGTGTTTTATGGATGCTTAGAGTGGGACTCGGATACGAGGTTGCACCAGTGCCCCTATAGCAAGCAGGGTCAAGGAGGAGGAGCCAGGAGCGCTGGCTGGGGACCCGAGAACAGAAGGATTGGGCTGCTCTGTGGAAAACTATTACACAGAGCAGGTACGTATGACATTTTCCTTTTTTTTTTTTAAAAAAAAAAAAGCTTTAATATCACTAATACACCCCAAAAATACAAAGACAACAAGAATAGTAGTTTTCCCTTCTTTCAAACATATTTCACCTAAGAAACTCAATGAACAACTCTGGGAGATTTGTCAAATTTTACAGAAATCTCTCAACTCATAGCTATTATCTGGGAAAATAATAATCCAAACTCCCCCACCTCCTTTTTTTTTGTTTTTGATTTTTTATTTCTTTGTTTGTTCAACTGTTTGTTTTGTCAGTGACAATGGAATCACTGGGATGAGAAAGATAAAAGTGTGAGGCATTCAACAGAAGTTTAGAAATATTATATTTCATTTACAGACTACTAAATTATGTAGGAAAAGATGACATCTGTCAAAAGCATTAAAAACAACCAAACAAACCGGGAACCCAACTGAAAAACGTTTCTACATGAATCTTTTAGCAGCTATAAAAGAAACATGCAGGCTAATATTGCCAAGCTCCTTTTGAAAATTACAGTTGCCTGGCTGTCCCTGGTTTCGGTATTTCAGGGACGATGTTTCAGAACAAGGAGCCAAAGAGCCACTTACAAAAACTGCAGGCAGGGAGGCTCTTCATTGTAGTAGAGACATGCAATGTTGTAATGTACAGTGAGCCGCAGAAGTGCAGATCAGTCCACATTGCAGCACAGGGCCTGTCTGCCAGGATGGCTGAACTTCTTTGCATGCACAGGAGGCACATCATCCCTTGCTGGCCGATTAGGATACTCACAGGACAGCACCTGGAAGAAGATGCTGGTGCCAGTGAGGGACGATGGACTCTTGAAGAGTGGGTAAGTATTGCAGAGTTATAACTCTTCTTAAATGGAATTATTTTGTGCCAGGAGTTCAAATGTAACAAGGGGTAATGTTTTAGAACAAACCCTTGCTAACCTCTGTAGCTTGAGGGAGCATGCAGAATATCATCCTCAAAGTTTACAATTTACAAGAGATCCAGGGAAATCCTTTAAGTCAAATCAAAGCACGCTGGTCTCTCCCCATACATCTGCTCTGTATTTCCATTACAGATTAAAAGGCTGACAGGATGGAAACTCACTTCTGGAAGAGGGAAACAAATCAATCTAATCATATAAAATATTGAGGATGAATTATTCCACAATAACTGCACATACAGAGATCGGTGAGAGTTTGTTTAAAAACATTTTTACTTCTTCAGACTAATCAAACTGTTTATTTAATGCCCATAGTCTTGATACAGTTCTATTTGTAGCCATGGGTTTGGTGCTCTCTATTGTTATTACATCTAGTGCATCTCACCTGACTGGCCACATCAAAGTTAGGAACTGTTTCATTGTGCTTTTAGATTGTGTCAATAGTTCTAAGCACTTTTATGACATAAACAAAAGCCATCAACACAGACCTTAACTCTTTTCCGCCAGCAGCCATATATATATTTTTGTGTGCTACCATATATATGCACTCAGGGAGCATTGCTGAGTTGTGCTGGGAAGGCACCTAATTGTACATCCCTAGGACTGGGATGGCTCTGCCACTGACACCTTCCAGTCACATAGCAGCCATTGGGACCTGGTAGGTTGTACTCCTGACTATGAAATCACTGCAACAGCCAATCACAGTTATCTCATGACCGGGAAGCCCAAGTAACGACTCTGGAATTATGATCTCCCCTACAGGACCAGCTCCCACCAGTGGGAAATGGTAAATATTCAAGAAAAATAAAAGAATGAACTTCACAGACTCCTCATTGTAGAAACACATTTTGGATCCAGAGCATTTTGATCTACGCCTTCCTGTTAGAACAGTCCAGGCTGGTGGCACCACCGCCACCTATGGCAATAAACCTGCACATTCATTGGACTATGGAAGAGCAACAGCACACTAAAAGTATGAGAAATTGGATTTGTCACCTCATCTCAGCTAATATCTAAGTGGAGGATGAAAAGTAAAGAAGCTGTATCCCCTTGGATGGGAAGATAGATCTAAGACAAGCAAGCTTGGCCCATGTAGTTTTAGGTTGTTGCAACTTGTAAGTGAATAGATATGGTGAGAACCCACCCTGGGAACACACGAACACACACACACCAATGGATACATAATCTCTGTAATGCTCTGTTTTACTATATCAGTAATTGGTAACTGTATTACATATATTATTTATGAGCAGATTTTGGTCCCATTGGTTACTTTGCGGTAAGATCGGCATTATGCAGTCCTGCCCCTCTTGCCCTGTCATGGGCCTAAATCCTCCTCCTACACTCCTCACAATATAATCTAAATGAAAAATCTAGCCAATAGAGTGAGACTGCTTAATGTAATGACTGGGTGGAGCTGGGAATTGGAGTTCAGACATCTTACTGCTGTAATGCAAACAACGGATAAAAGACCAGTGAGTGACTAGACCTCAAAGAAAATATTGATTTTCTTTGAACTGATTCTTGAGCACTGTAGCCATTGGGGAATATTGCTGGTCAGCGCATAACTCCCATACCTGGAAAGAGGTAATATCATCGTCATGGGGCAAGGTGGACAGCCAGGGTGCTGGAGCCGTAGCGTTCAAAGACAGTCTATATATTGTAATCCGCCCTTCCCATGGGCACCTTGTAATGTACACTGTCCTCTGCAGATCTGAAAAGGGAGAGAAGAAAAAAAATCAACTTTTAGATACAGTCAAAAACTTCTGGCTGTTGCCATGTTCACCAAAGGAAGAAGACGTAAGCTTTAGCATGGCAGACAGCCACTCTATTCACAGAATAAGCCACTTTGTATCAATTGGGAATGTATTCTAAACGAAAATTTTTCTAGATGTTTCCTAAACCTAAAACCCTAAGCAGTTTGTTGTCGTTGCCCGTCCTATTTTAAGACAACTGGAAATTAGCTGTAGGAGTGTTCTATGCCCACTCTCTCATCATGACCAATTCATGAGGCACAGGCTAGAGTCTACTACTGCACACAGACTTTTGCTCCTGATTCAGATCTCCAGAGCAGTTCAAAGCTGTTTCATGTTTCCCAGTTGGTCCTTGTAGTCATTACCTTCATGTCCGGTGTCACTGAAGACTCCATGTGAGCTCCCCATTGACAGCGAGCCTCTCTTCTTTTTGTCTGATGAGGTCCGGATGTTGTTTTGAAGGCTGCGAGGTTTCTCTTGGAATAAACCTGCTCAAAAGACAAGATATTGAGGGATTACCCTCTGTAGTACAGTGTGCTTCAATATAAAAATAGACATATGCAGCACATTCATAGCCAGTTTGAATTTTTCATCTATTTAGACCAATGAACACCTGTTTAAAGAACATACTTTTATATGTTAATTTTCTTAATTCTTTATGCATGTCTTTACTTTGACAAAAAATACAAGATGCATCTCTAGAGTTTACAAAGAATGCTGGGATTTCTAGTGGGACAGCCCAGTGCTGTCTGGGTCCTTTTTGGCAGTCTATGTATAACTGACTAACCTAAATGTTCCCTATCTTGGCTAACTGAAAAAGAGGTGCTATGTATCTCTTCAGAATCATTCAGCAGGCTGTGCAATCTAATCATAAGGCTGCCTGCACAAAAAAAATACAGTGAACTAAAACAAAAGACAAATAATTACTGGAAGCAGTTCCCTTCAAATAAAAAACTATAAAGTGATGAGTGGAGATCAATTGAAAAGCTCCTTTTCCAGTGGTAGTAGGTGATGCGACCTTTACATTGGTGGTAAATGAAAAAGGACTCTTTTACACTGACTTTTGGCAAAATAGTGTTCCCTTTGGTGGCCAGTGAAGGCCCCTCTTATATTGGTTTTCATTAAAATAACATCTCCCTACTTTGGAGGTTGGAGGAAAAGTGGTCAATGGAAAATTGCTCCCTCACATTAGTGGAAATATCAATCTCACATTGAAGGTCAGTGGAGAAGGGGTCCTTTAGATTGATGGTCAGTGAAGAGGGCCCCTCTTACATTGGTGTTTACTGAAGAAGAGCTCTCTTTACATTGGTGGTTAGTAAAGAAGCACCCCTGTCACATTGATGGTCAGTGGAGAAGTGGTCCCTTAGAGTGGTGGCCAGTGAAGAGGAGAAGAAGGGCCCCCTTTACATTGGTGGTTAATCAAGAAGCACCCTTGTCACATTGATTGTAAGTGGGAAAAAAGCCCCTTTCCACTGGTGGCCTGTGGAGAAGCGTCTGTTACATTGGTGGTCAGTGGAGCAGTGTTTCATTATGCTGGTGGTCAGTGACAAACACTGACAGTTATATTGTGTGGTGCTCCTTTTATTAATGGTTACTGGATCTAACTAGCCACTGCTGAGTGACATTGATTGAATTTACGAAGGCACTGCTAATATCCATACTAAGCAGCAAAAACACAAATTCATTAATTCTTCTAACTCAAAGAAACTTGAGTCTAGTATTTTTTTCGGTCTCTAAATAGACATTGATCTAGTTCTGCTTTACCCCCAGTAATCCATAACAGCCAATAGTATACAGATTGAAAAGTGTCTACTTCTATAGGTGGTCTGTGGAGAATCACCTCTTATACTGTACATTGGTGGTCAGTGGAGGTGACCCTTTATAATGATGGTTAGTGGGAAAGACTGCCAATTACTGTATATTGGAGGCCAGTATGGTTCCACTGCAAAGTGACATTGGTGTCAAAATTACAAATGCATTGAAAGACAGGAGCTGTAACAGCAGCTGCTCACCGATCACCCCCTGAACCACTAGCAACCTCTAGAGGAACTTTCATTAAAGAAGACTGCAATAGAGCATTCAAGGTATCCTTTGTGATCATGAATTAAAAAATAATATCCATATTAAGTTGCAAAAGCACAAATGTAATAATTCTTCAAACTCAAAGCAACCTAAGCCTAATATTGTTTCTGGCCTCTAAATGGAAAGGCCTAGTTCTGCTTTATCACCAGTAACCCGTAACAGCCAAGAGCATAAAGGCCTTCAGATGTCTTCTCCTGTGGATTTCTCATTGGCTGCTTTGGCCAAAGCAAAAAATGGTTCATTACAACCAGAGTCTTCTTAGTACTTTTATGGTGTAACTTTTATTCTGCTGTGTGGAGGGAGGAGGCAGATTGGCGCCAAACAGACGCCTGTTAGCAATAATTTAATTTCAGCTAGCCTCCCTTGGGCTGGAACCTGCTTCCATCCTCCTTTTCTTGTTTCAAGTTTCAGGAAGAGGAGACACAGAGAGAAAATTAAGCTTTAGGCCAGGAAAGGTTTAAATAAAAGATGCAGGCAGGAACTGGCAGAGAAATCTGAGATAAAACTATGGATGCCTCATCTTAGCTTCCTGGCACAAGGTGGATGAAAGATTTAGGAGTTTGCTGCTTTTTTCCCGTCATGTCTGGGCTAGACGCACACTGCACAAAATGAATACGCAAAAGACAGACAGCCTAGGGAGCCTGGGCTTAAAGGAAAACTCCAATTTTTGTTCTATTTTACATGATCTCTGCAGTCACTTACTGAGGACTCAAAAGTGGGAAACTAAATTAATAAACGGAATAGTGCGTCTCACTAAAAGACTAGAAAAGCTGGGCTTCTTTTGGGAAACAAATGCCTTCAAGTGAACCTGAACGGAAACTAAACATGTTAAACTAAATCGCAGCAAAAGCTGCAAGCGCATGCCTTTCCTTTTATGATTCGTCACTGCCTCACTGCCAGGAACATATTTTACCCATCGTTTAGGCATGGCATGCTGAGACAGTCTCTGGCTTTTTAAATGTCCGGTATACTCCAAAAGTAGGATTTCTCTTACATAACTCTCAATCCTTTCCACCTGGGGTTATGGGTGTCCCTGCCCAATCTGCCCCTTCTCAAGTGGCACTGTATGCCAGGACTAAGGATGTGGAACTCATGGAAATGTCGACTAAATGATACCTTAGACAGGCACAACAGAGTATGGGAATTGTGGCATTTGTCCGATGACTTATGTTAAAGGTTCGGTCGTTTGTCTTTGGTTATTTGGATTTAAGTGTTGGGGGCGAGCTTAGGACACGAGGCATTATGGGCCACTTCTTGTCTTCTTCTATCTCAGGAGTTATTATTTCCCCTCATTTTCACTTTCTTATTCTGCCTTTTCTTTCCACCTTTTCTCCTTTAATTCTTCTGAGCTTCTTTTGCTTGATTTGCATGGTAATACTTAATGTTCTGAGTTTTACAGTGCCTACTGGGAATGCTTCTCCTGCCGTGTATGGCACTTCTCTATCTATGATAATCCGGTATAGTTATTGTCACTGGCTACTTTAGCTGCTAGGTTGTTTCATTAGATGCAATCTTTTTATTTGTCCTACCTAATATTGTATAAAGGATGTTTTATGAAAAAGTGTGAATTTTTGGCATTGTAACCATTGCCTATTTCTCTTGAGTCTTTCTGTGTGTATACTATGCCTAAGGTCTACTGATAAAAGTTCAAAACAAATTTTTATTAACAAAAAAAAAATCCAGCAGGGAGGGTGGAAACCCACCACAAAGTAATGCCCGTAGCGTAAAAGAAGGAAAGAAGTAGCGCAGGGCAGGAATGACTAGGCCTAGAGTGGGAAGGAAGACTAGAAAGGGTTAAGTCAGTGCCAAGGGGTTTGAAAATATATAGGTGGGAGCTGGTTGGTAGAGGGAGAACGTGGGTGGTCTCTTTGGCACCTTTGGGTGGGGTGTCCTGGGTGGGGGGCAGTCAGTCGGAGCTGGACGTTGGTGAGTGAGCTTCCCTCCCGCCCTCCCTATTTAGTGAGTATTGGGTTCCTCTACGGGGAATGGGGGTTATGCGGTTAATGGGCGGTTTGTTGGTCTTTGGAGGCGGGTATTATCTTGAAGGTACAGAGAATGGTGTGGGACCCATTGGTGGTATGGTGTGCCCGGGGAACATTCCAGTTAACCAAGGTTTAACTGGAAGGTGGTGGTGCTGCACTGCGGACGGTAAGGTTGTCTCCGAGCTGGTTGGTTGCGGCTGGAGGCCTGGTGGTATATGGGGTCCGCAGGTGCATTTCAGATAATTTTTGGATGGTGCCTTCGAAGACCAACAACAAATCAGTATGTTTTTCTGTTATAAGGAATGGTTTGGTGTTTAAAACGTGTGGTTAATAAAAGGCCGCGTTGGCCATTTTACTCCAAATCGGTGTCATGTTTTTATTTAAGTAAGAGTTATAGGTAGGGGGATCTGGATGAACCGATCTCTGGTGCACTAGTCATGGGCACAGCAGGTGTGAAGAATTGGGAGCTCAACACAGAAATCTCACCAAAAGGGTCCCAGAGAGACAGAAAAGACTGTCAGGTGGTTTAACTATCCATCATGCACCAAAAATGTAAATACCAGTTTTGGTCCGATTTGACATTTTAAAAATTAGAATCAGAATGATCCCTAAAGAAAAACATTTAGGGATGGCCTTAGGTATTAGAATCTCTGTTCTTAAGTTGTGTTCATGGTGCATCCTTACCTAATACGGTTTGTGCTTTTATTCACTTGTATTCTGTCCCTGTCAGGTGGGTAATCCTCCAGTGTCTACCAAACACTGAAATATTAGATTGGATTGAATGACCCTTTAACACAGTGGTTCTCAACCTGTGGGTAGTGACACCTTTGGGGGTCGAACGACCCTTTCACAGGGGTCCCCTAAGACCATCAGAAAACACATATTTCCGATGTGTAAAGAGCAGCTACTGTGTAGAAAGCAGCTGCTGTGTTGAAAGCAGCTACTCTGTTAAAAGCAGCTACTGTGTTGAAAGCAGAAGTATTGGAGGTAAAACGACACTCATGAATTATAATTACTGGGTAAATAATTTTATGGTTGGGGGTCACCACAACATGAGGAACTGTATTAAAGGGTCACGGCATTAGGAAGGTTGAGAACCACTGCTTTAACACCTCTAAGTTTGCCACAGGTACACTTTACAGTTAATACAAATAAAGGATAGCTCTAGGCATATATAAATAATCTTTGATTACCAAGACACTGTGTGCTATGTGCCCTCGTCCCTTAAAATAAGCAAATTGAGAAATGCACCAGATAGCAATGGACCTTTTTGAGGGACATATAAATAAGATAACAACACTATATACAGTATATAAAACCATACAGTTTATTAATACATCATTAAAAAGAGAACATGGATAACATCAGCATAAAAAAGAGGTCTGTCTAAGGGTTTACACAAATGTCAATATCCAGTATGCTTC